GTATTATGTAGACAACAGTGCGCACCTCTGGTGAAGAATTTACTGATTCTATTACTGCAGGCCTTTCTCGCGCTCTCCCAGTGCTAGTTTTAGAAATCACGCAATGCTGATGGCTAGGAACAAATTACAAACAACTACCTACATGTTGAATCTGTAGCTTCGGGAGAAACTTCTTTGAGAGGAATAAATGCGGACTTGAAATGATTACTAAATAAGGCTTAATGGCCATCTCAAAGGATAATGAACCTTGAACTATACGTTTGAGTAAAATTCCTCTATTTCCTAGGTATAGAACCCGACCAAGCGACAAAAACCCAGTCATCGTTACCATTTCCTACGCATATAATTATCAGCTACAAATCTAGATCAAATATAGTGATTAATTTTTCCTGCAGAAAACTGCAACAAAGTCGGCAATGTGTGAGCCACTAGATTATTCGAATAGTCGAGTATTCGACCGAACCCATTATTTGAATATTCGTTCATTCGAATTTTGAGATGTAGCATTAATCGATCGCTTCAACTGTACTAGTAACTTCGTATGTCTTTTCTATCATAACAAACTGTAGGAATGCTTATTACCTTTTACTACATACCGAGTCAGACCAAAAGACATAAGGAAACGAAAACCAATTTCGGGGAGCAGCATCTAACCTTGTAAGCCGTCAAGTAGCGCGCATGGTACGCGATACGCACATTGATTTACAGATGAATGTGCATGTAATGGAATGTGTAAGCATTGCTCGGTTGTTTGCGGCAAGGTCTATCTGTCTTATACAAACTGTTCGTATGTAGGAGTGATGGGGTGATCCCGCGCGGAGTGTGTCTCTATGTTGAGTTGCAGTTTTATTAGACTGTGTTCATACTGATCCCGAAGTTTGGAAACAGTTTCAGCACAACGCTCAGTTCGAGTCAATTTGTGCAGGAAATGTTTCCGAATTCCGAGATCAGTATGAACGCAGCCTTAGACTGGGGTAGGGGACTATCGTCGCCGAAGTAGGAGGTCCCGCCGCACATCTGCAATAAATACCCATTTTATTGCATGTACAGGCTGAGTATCTGCTGCACTGTCCGCGCGGGACCTTCCTTCAGGCGATATATAGTCCTCTACCCATCAGACTCTATCGGAACGTTAGCCAGGGGCTGTTAGGGGGCGACTTTTTATCTTTGTGTGCTGTAAATCTGCAGGGTTTCTAGAAAAACTCACAGCTTTCGTGTTCCATTCGCTCTATCAAAAATATGCTTAGCACTGCCACAGTAAATCCTAAGCGCAACTTTTGAGAAAGTTTAATTGAGATTGAAGATAAGGGCTTTGGAAAGTGTGACGGTCTTCTGGAAGATCTCAACGGGTTCATACAAAACGATGAAATACTCAGTTTGTACGGCAATGCGCTGCCATTTACTATGCTAGGGAGTATTAGAGTAATAAAGCTTCCAAAAGGGAGAGAAAACTAGGGCACAGATCCCTAGAACACCAAGAAACAAGGCGTCCCCTCAAAGTCCTATTTTCTTGCCGAACGGGTACGTATATGCATACCGACCTTTGTCACAGGCATCATCATGGAAGTGTCCTTTTTAGAAGCTTGATGCTGCAAGGTTGGCCATGGAATAGTTGCGATTCTGCTCTCATTTCTTGAATACAAAGCTTTGACTTTGGATTTAGGTTTCGGAGAGTTATTGAAATCTTCTAGGAAAGCAAAAGTTTTGTACCAACCTAAACAAATTCACATGCAGTTGCATGGATTGACATCGAGAATTGGACATGCAGCAGCAGGTAGCTCATGAGACAGGTGTTTTGATAGTCAATCTTGCTAGTCACACTTGCTCAATGCATGTAATCCAAGATGATAGAATGCCATGTAGACCCTCACCCAGTTGTTTATCGAACCTTTTTAACGGTTCTCTCTGTTATAACTCCGTTCCTAGATGCGTATGCTATATTCTATATTGTAAAGAAATCTCCAAAGCAAATGGCTTCATACAAATGGTGGCTGCTCTGCAACCAGATAGTTTCTTCAATCTTTGATTTTGTTTTCTCCACGCTTATCTCACCTGTTATATACTTTCCTATCATGATGATGATCGCCGACTCCTACCTAGCGAGGTGGACATCACTTTCTATTGTGGACGGTGTTCGTATATTCGGTTGCTGCATCGTAGTATTACTTTGTACCATCGTAAATTTGTTTATATACCGATGCTATGTGCTGATCCCTCAAAATCACTTTCTAAAAGTGTGTCTAAGAGGTAAACTTTTTCGATAAGAAAAAGTGCTTTTCTTCTTCATTGTCAAGAAAACGCTGTTTTCTATTCTTCTCATCAATCCAGCCGATTCTAGGTCCATGGATATATGTCGTCGTGCTTTTAGTTTGCTGCGTTCCTACTTTCGTTGCACTAATACTTATAAACTTCGTTCCTGATCAAACAGAAGCCAGGACAAGGGTCTTAGAGGTAGCCAATGACTATTGTTATCACTATCAGGGGTTTTTTCAGATGAGCTGTTTCAATATGTGCTTCCATTCATTATAGGAGTTTTCTTGTGCAAAGACAGTGATAGATGAACCTCGCGTAATGATTTTTACTCGAGAACGTGTTCACCATATTTTTATAATCGGAGTCGCACTTGACTTCTTTGGGGCAGCCCTCACGTCCTGTACAGTATCTTTATCGTACTATTTCCTCAGTAGTAAAACAAATCAAATGTCGCGAAAAACAAAGCTTATGCAGAGACGATACTTGTTTTCGCTCTGCATTCAGGTAAGTTGACTTAAGTTGTTGCCGAATTTTAGCTGATGTTGTATATAGGTTTTAATCCCGGCTATCACGCTTTTTACACCTGTGTGCGCGTTTCTGATAGGATGGTATTTGTTGTCATTTCCCATCGGACAAGGTGAGGCTACTTTTATATTGGGTTAGAGAGGAATTTCCAGGACTTCAGCCACATCAGATAAAGTGCGGTTCATAATTATACGAACATCCAAAATTTTGTAAGTTTTCGGACTTTTTGGGAAAAACTCAAAAAGCCGTTGGTACCACGCGATAGAACACAGCCGAAAACGGTATATGATCCATAATAGTGGAAATCGATGTCAACTGTAGGAGTGTTTTTGCGGCTAATGCAAATTTTTAGCGGTTCATAATTATACGAACACCTCAAACAAAGGTCCATTTTTCATTCAAGATTGCAATCGTTTGAGTCCAAATTTTTTGAAGAGTTACAGTAACAAAGTCTGACATATCTGCTATATACTAAACCCAGAGCAGTCCAAGAAGAGGACCGTTGCTTTTTTCAAAACGGGCTAAATGCTTTTGGAGTGATTGCGCTCCAAAAACATTCGTTCTTCTGTGGTTTACGCGCTCTAATTAGCTTCTACCAAAGCTTTGAGATGAAATAAGCTCTTTCAATAGATATTTTATTTGACGTTTAAAAAATCTATGCGTTTTCATGCTGTTTTTCAACCAAGTTCCAACCTTACCACAGGGTTAGCACGATTTCGAGCCTCCAAACTCAGCTTCTCTCTTGCGCAAAAATTTGATATGAAGTAGCTGCATTGTTTGCATGATGATGTTTCTGTACCAAAGTTTTTGGGTTTTTTCTAGAGCTGATCTTGCGGCTGTGGAGCTACAAACCAAATAAAGGTGTGATTGCAATAGTAAAAACAGTCTTTCTGGTAAAATAACTTCTGCGTGACCAAAACAAACGCTCAACGCTGCTGATTTTTTCCAACCAAATATAAAGTCTTATAAACTTCTACATACTGTATGCTTACTTCATTGTACGGCTTCTGAAGCTGAGTTTTGAGGCTCAAAATTGTATTAACTCTGTGGCAAGGTTGGAACTTAGTTGAAAAACGGCACGAAAACGCAATGATTTTTCAAGCGTCAAACAAAATACCTATCGCAAGAGCTCATTTCATCTCAAAGCTTTAGTAGAAGCTAATTAGAGCGCGTAAACCACAGAAGAACGAATGTTTTTGGAGCGCAATCACTCCAAAAGCATTTAGCCCCTTTTGAAAAAAGTAACGGTCCTCTTCTTGGACTGCACTGGGTTTAGTATATAGCAGATATGTCAGACTTTGTTACTGTAACTCTTCAAAAAATTTGGACTCAAACGATTGCAATCTTGAATGAAAAATGGACTTTTGTTTGAGGTGTTCGTATAATTATGAACCGCTAAAAATTTGCATTAGCCGCAAAAACACTCCTACAGTTGACATCTATTTCCACTATTATGGATCATATACCGTTTTCGGCTTTGTTCTATCGCGTGATACCAACGGCTTTCTGAGTTTCTCCCAAAGTCCAAAAACTTACAAAATTTTGGGTGTTCGTATAATTATAAACCGCACTTTAGTAGAATGCACAGTATTCTAGCAGGCATTGCATATTGCTATGTATTCGCGATATGACTGACAGTGAGCGTGATGAAGGATTTGTTTTTTTGCTCATATCCAATTTCAAAATTTTTTAAAGTTATTCTTGTATATCTTAACTTCAAACCTGGAACGTTTTATACTCATCTCTATTGGTTTGTAAAGCTTACCTCGTCGAACAGCACCCTCTTGCATTTTTTTGTGTTTACCGGCCACGTCACGAAAGGAAATTTTTTTCATTTCAGCTTGAAAAATGATCCACTGGCATTATTTCGCGAATGATTCTGCATTTTTCTTCTCATTCTGCCTTTTCCAATTTCTCTGTTGACCCCCGCGCTATTGGCTTCTCGAGATAACATTGTAACCAACACGTTCACTCAACCCTCTATGCTAAGTTTTCTCTCTTTCAAGAAAAAGAAATCGATAAAACCGATAAAGATATTTATTTATCCAATGGTATAATTTGTAACTGATATGCTCGCTTGTCCCATTAACCAGCCACCCTTCAGACCAAAAACATCAATAAATGATAATATCGATGGTTTTTTAATAGTTTGTGACAGTCGCCCTGCCTCAAAGCGTATGTGTACGAAGCTTGTTCTTTTCAGGATAATTTGTCAACAGGATATGTATGAGTCGAAAATAAGTTAGAAAAATAAATACTCGCGAGTCTAGATTGCAACTCTGTAAACGTACTGTATATTCGTTTTAGGTGTTGGAAATCTTGGTATGAGTATGGCGGCTCTCCATTGTCCCATAGCTCCACTTTGCCTTATTTTTTGCAATGACACATATCGTAAATACACCTTCACCAAACTCAAGCATGGTTGGTTAAAAAGCGTCAATAAAAGCTTTCGTGATTGGATAAAATTATTGATTTTAGTGTTCACGATGCGAAAGAGAAAGTCCGCTCCGAACAGCATTGCGCATGCACAACTTCCGCAATTAAGCGATAGATGCTATGCTGTACAATCAAGTCTTTGATGATTCTATTAATAATTGATTTGTTTGATTCAATATGTATCATGCCATTTCATAGTTTCGTAGGCTCGTGCACTTTACCTTGTCCTCGTTTCTCTGTAAAGCCGTTGATTCGCAAGGTGCGTACACTAATGATAAGAGCTGATTATGCTCCATGAAATGAACTTAATACATTCAATAAAACTAATTTACATTAATACAGTGCTGGCTTTAGCTATAAAGCCACTTTAAAAATAATGCGAATAAAACAATAATTGCCTTGCTCGAAATTGGCTGAAAAACCACTATTCTTTGTGCAAGCCAACGTCATATCATTGACCAGAACAGCTCCCAATTTCGCTGGTCTCGGTCGGAGAAAAATTGAAAAATTTGAAAAAATGGGTTCCAAAGGCTGGTCACAGCTATAAAGCCACCTCCCATTTTCGATCAATACTGCATTCCTTAAATATAAATTTTTTGTACATTTACAGCATCAAAAGATGAAGCATATGTTACACTTGGGAGCCGTTGCCATAAGAGAAGATTCACATTGCATTTTTTGTTTCACAATGCATAAAGTCATAGTGTTTCAAAGAACTGCCTTTTTACCGGATTTTCAAGCCCTTGTTCAATTCGGATGAAGGTCCTAAGATTTGCTGAGCCTTTGCAATGATTACGGTGAAAAACGCTTGATTCAACATTGCGTAATCGTTGATATCGGTAAACAAGCCTCAAACTTACCTTCTGGTAGACGAGTTTTCGGACCGCAGAAGTTGAGTTCTAGTGCCCGAAAAACTCTGTAATTTATAGCCCCTTGCGCGTAGCTTGAACATCATCGCAACTCTGAGCATTCCGGTTCCACTTTGAACGTCCTTTTCCAAAATCGAATGGTGCACTCTGTGTGATCGTAACCCACTCTGATCGCTCGATCGGGCCAAAATTTACTCAAAACTTTGAAGTTTTAGTGTCTTCGACAGTTCTGTAAGATTTGAGTTGACTCAAAGGAGTAAAATGTGAAGTCAGTGAGATTCACTGCGCAACTGCAGACAAAGCTTTGCAACTACAATGCTGCAATAGTCTTTACAAAGATTCTGACACCTTTTGCGTGAGTAAGTCGCCATGCAAACGAAGTGTCAACTTTCGATCAGAAGTTTCAGAAATCAAAAAATCGAGTTTTGCGTCTCAGAAGCGCGCTTACAGCTAGGAAGATGAGGCTCGTTTATGCAAGCGGGCACCGGAAAAATAGTTCGCTGATTTTTTGTGGTCCGCTTGCGAAAATTTGGAATAATTTTGGCCAATTTTTAGACGAACGCTCGAGGATCTATCGCGGTTTTTCTATACATAAGTTGCGGCACAGTGGCCGCATTCTCCCGGATATCCGCGAGAACATGCAAAATTATTGAGAGCCGCACGGTCCTTTTTGAAGGACCGCACAGCCCTCAGGTACTTTCCGCTGATGGAAAGTACCCCAAACTTGGGTAATAAAACCATCGATGGCACCTCTGCCACATAGAGTCTCATCTTTTCTCGGCGTACGCCCGAAACTGCGTAAAAAGAGTCTGAGCGCCTGCTGAAAGTATGGCCAGCGCTCGCTGAAAGAGATTGTTTGACGAGCGCTTGCAGAAAATTTTGTATTGATGCCCGCTTGCAGAAAACGCAAATACCGCCCGCTGAAGATTTGGCCACGCCCCGAAATCCTGCTGACCGCCTGCAGAAAAGCGCGAGTTTGCGGACCGCCTGCCCCCACCGTCACCGTCGCATCCCTACTGTGAAAACTTATAAAGCAAGTTCAGTGAGTTTTCCTGCATGAAAACACAACCACATACCGCAAACGTTGTCAAAAGTGTCCTGCGAATTGACTGGGAGGTACAGTCGAGTAGATTTGTAGTTAAATATGGTGCCCTTGTGCTGAAATTTTGTACTGAAAAAATGGCGCAAATGCTATATGTAACAGCGAATTTAATAGACTGTACATCAATACCAGACTATCCTTAGACCTCGCCTCACCAGAGTGACATTTTTCCCGCTATCTTGCAAATCATATAAACAGTGCTTGTTTAGCCTGGAGATGATTTTAAGCGTTGATAAGTGGTAAAGCTACTTTACTTGAACGAAACACTCCAACCAGGAATTGAATATCTAATGGCTAGGCCACAGAAGGTTGTGCCAACAATGGAACAACTTCTTGGCTGAATTTGATAAAATTTTGTCGTTTTGCTCGTTTATGACTCTGAGAACTTACGAAAAGACCTAATACATCACTTGACGCGTCTATATTTCGTGACTAATTTGCATAAAGTTTTCATTTTTAGGATATTTTTCGTAATTCTTTTCTTGAATGTATGGGTACAATTAATTAGAATGATCATCTTACTCACTACTATGTGCAGATAAGTAATCGTAAGATGTCGTGTACATTGTATTGAATTACAAATGATCTCACTACACCTGTGTAATTTGCCAGATAAACAATTCATCTTTTGTATAATAATTTACATATTTATGTTCAAAGTTCACGGCAAGGGGTGACTTTTCCAATTCTCTGGAAACAAAGTTCCCATAGTCGCCACGGAATCAAGGCATCCCCCATACACACTATGTATGAATCGAACATAAACTAGGCGATGAGGAGAGGGTTTGGAGAAGATCACAGCATATTTTATAGGGTTTTGCAGTATCAAAATTATGTAGAAAGTTGAAAAAGATATGTGTAATTAAAGGATTTTATGACTTTATTCTCCCTGAACAAGCTCAGGTGACTTTCCAGGAAAAACCACCTAATTCTAAAAAAAAAAGTTTGCCACGCCTACAGCTGCCACTTACATAATTTTTAGCTCAATTTCATAACCTTTCATACATGGCTCATCTCATGGTTGCCCATCTACAGACCAATTTTGGTGTCTTTGCTGTAAGCAACCGTTTTGTCTATTCCGCGGCACATTTTTGAATTTCGGCTGCTTAACTGGGTTGGGGGCGGCCTACGCTGAACCTAAAACGCCTCAGTCCGGCATCAAATGAGCTATCGATTCGGTTGCGGATCGCTTTCTAGACATAGAAGTCTTGGGCGCCTTTTCAAAAACGGAGCCTCTTGAGCAAACTTGTTCGAACGGTAAATGTAAGTGAATGAATTTGAGGCGAAAGGCCGTGGTTCGATGCCGGATAGCGGACTATTTTTGCGCCATCGCTGGCAACTTCGATAGCGGCTACTATAAAAAAATCGATGATGACCGCTACCAAAGATTCGCGTAGCAAATGAATGGATAAAACAAAACTACGATATTTCGACGAAGATGTTATGAAAAGCTGAGGAACTTGGAACATGAACGGCAAAGAAATAAATAAATTCTTGTTTGATGCAACTTTTAGAAAAAACCCTAAGCGAACTCTGCAAAAAGAAAAAAATCGCTTTTTTTCGTTGCCCAATCAGCTGTTCATCAATCTTTGCTTACTGCGCGCAGAAAAAGTGCAGTTGTGTGAGTTTTGCACCGCAAGAATACGTCAACTGGATTGTCCCGTAGGTTACCCACGAGCAACTTACGGGAATTTTGTCTGTTTTTCCTTTCGAACACTATAAGCTCCTGCAAGACGAAGGCGGTCGATTCAATGCGCAACGCGGCTGCGACATGGCTGCGTCACAGCCGAGTCACAGACGCGTCACAGCCACGTCGTATCTCGAACCGACCGCCTTCGTCTTGCAGGAGCTTATATCTTCCTCGGTCCACCCTAGAACCTGCCTCGGCCAAGTGGCGTTATGTTAACACACTCACGACAATACGACCCACCGGTGGGCCGTAAAATTCCTGAAACGTTTTGCCAGACTATGATGGAATTCTAGGGGGTTCTGGCACACCTGTGGCCGTATTCACCAACGAACTTAGTGGGTCCCAGAAACCATTGGGTGCGCGAACCCAGTGGGTTCCGTGGGTTCGCGAACCCACTAGGTAAGATCGGTATTCACAAGTGCCCCGCTGGATTCGCCAACCCATGACGTCACCAATGTGCCTCTTCAGTCTGTGTGCTATTTGTCCATCTCTGGCACACACGAATCGCACTAGACTAAAAGCGCCGGTACGCTTGACGCGCTCTCGGGAACTCTTATGTTCGGATGGATGACAAGAATCAATGTCGTGCGACAAAACTTGCACTTCCCTATTCTAAACTTTATTCGAGTATTCTTTCGGACACAATGATATGTGTGGAAATGGAAGCAGAAAGAGGGCTTTCCTTTTTTGTTCCACTGATCTTTCTTTTTCAGAGCTGTTTTTTACCTCATAAGGAAGATATCAGCCACACTTTTCGAAGATTGCACGGCATAACTGACATTCACGAATCCGCATAGTTTCAACAATTGTCATGGTGCAAGGAGTAGCTAAGTTTATTTCGTAAATTTTTTTGCCATACACAGCAAGAAATCTACGCCTTTTTCGAACTCCTACTCTCAAAGGGGATTTTCATCAGTGACGCATATTCACAGAAAGCCTCAAGTCTTTGTCCATTTGTATTTTTTGTGGAGGACGCCCGAATGATAGGGGAGTACGTTTTTCTCAGACTGAAATGTGCAAAGAGATCATCGACAGATTTCTAATCTCTGTGATGTAACTATTACGTGATTACCATCATTAATACTTGTTCCCCTCCAATGGTTTTTACTCCACCAGATTAAGGAACAGACAATTTTGATTAAAACCGCTTTTTTTCTTGAATCGTTTTTCTACTGACTTGATCAAAATAGGGGCAAGATTTTGTTTAATTTGAGGAATAAACAAACATAGACAAACATGGACAATAGACAACCAAATACTAAAACACGAATGCAGGCAGAAGCTCTGCTTCCTATATGAGGCTCCCTCTGTAGTCGCAGTAAAGTTCGATGTGTTTTTTAGTTGACTTTGACCTCATTTCGATCAAACAGTTTCAAAGTGAACATTGTCACAATAATAATTATATACTATCATCGATGAACAGATTAGGCTTGCTCAGAGTAGGAATGTGCGTTAGAAATCCGTTATTGAGAGGAAATAAGC